CTGAGCATCCCCTCGTCATGTGCGGCTTCAAGCAACTGATCGACTTCGTCCTTCCCCGCCGTTGCCTTCTTCTTCCTCTCGCCGCCTCTCATCTTCTGATCTGATCGCCCACGACAGGACCCTCTCACGAAGTCGCATATGATAATTATATATTTAATATTTATGGTATTTTTTTCTGCGCAAATTATATTATTGCCGTGACCGTGAGGAGGCTTAGTTGTACGCGGATTACTTTCAATAGGTATGTCGTTAATACATTAAATTGCATATATATATATATATATATATATATATATATATTCTCGGCCACCAAATGTTTAGTGTGATAAATAAGGTGTTATCATAATAATTTGATGTGATCATCATCAATTTAACGTTATGACCAATATAACCATTATGTGATTATACTGTCATTCTGATCATATCGTAGATCGGTGGAGAAGAGAGTATGGGAAAAACATGTATAGGGCTTGTGTTGTTTTTTTTTTCATTTAATCTTTCAGTTGATTTCATAATTCTGTGTCAATTCAATTTATTAAGTGTAAAAAATACACAGGATCAATTTTTAAACAAGATTAGAATAAAATTATATATTATACTATTTAATACGGTTCAATTTTGTTTATCTGATTCTAAGTAGTCACGGGGTTGTTCTTCGAGAAATCGAAATACTCGTTGTTGATTACTAATGAATGGTATTTACTGCGTGTGGAATAAAAACATTAAAAACAAACAAATTAATATTCACTCGATTCTTCCCTTCTAGACTCTATGAAATCTAAAAATTTTGAATGATATATAATTATATTTAAATCGAATTTGAATTTGATCTAAATATTATTTAATTATATTTTTTAGAAATTAAATGAAACTGAATCGGATCAAACATAGTAAAAACGGAACGATCATTTTTTATAATAAAAAAACAAATCCAAAAATATTTACATGAAAACTAATCAAAATCCCAAAATATGAACTCATAATCTCCGTCGTAACGTATTAAAATAATTAATATCATTATCATCTCGTAAAATTTATAAGTATCATTTTTTTTAAATCATCACTTGTTCTTAATTTATAGTTCATCTATATAATAAGATTTTGTTGGATTCAATCCGATTAATTATACAACAGCAATTTTATTTGTACCCTGATTTCAAATATTCAAACACCTTCGAGTTATATTCAAGTACAATTTTCCCATAACCGTCGAGCCGTGCAATACAAAACACACGTATATTTTCTCATTATAAACACGTGATTTTTTATTATTATAATTATTTACTAAAATGTATAATATTATTATATTATATGATTTGTGTTGCATTCATGCCACGGAGGCACGGAGCGCACCACATGTGACGCATATTTCATGCGTTTTCCGACACGGTTTCGATTCGTCAAATTTTAGTTGATCTCGACCGTACATTTCAAAGAGAGTTTTGGCACCGTCTATCTCACCAAACCTAGCCAACGAGTTAGATCACTATAAAAAAAATCTAAAAAAACATTGAAATTCTCAATTTGACAAAAAAATACAAAATTTTTTATTTTATTAAATAACTTTTACAATTGTCATAATAAACAAAATAATTAACGTGATACAAGAAGATTCAAATACACTAAATTATTTTGCTTAGTTTTTTTATAATCGAAAAAAATTTATATATATTTTTTTATCACTAAAAAAATTCAATGTTTTTTTATAATAGCCGAAAAATTCATATATTTTTTGTATCATTTAAAAAGTTCAGTATTTTTTTTAATTCGTTTAAAAATTTTAATATTTATTTGATAAAAAATTTAAATTAAATTTTTTTTTGTCAAAATTGAAAAATTCAATATTTTTTTTCTAGAATTTTCCGTATAAAAAATTATTGTATAACATATTATCATAAAAAATATAATAAATTGTATTTGCGATATATATACGGTATATAGATACAATTTTTTTAACTCTGATTTATCAGTATACCAATATAAATATCTTAGACATATGGATATTACAATTAACCAGTTTCAAATATTTGCTTATATTTATATTAACTGACTTATATTTCAAATAAACGACATAAATTACTGCAAAAATATAGTATTAATGAATCAATTTTGAAAATGAATATTTTATTTATTTTTTGAAAAATATGTATTTTATAACGTATTCGATTCTATATTAAAAAATCTTTCACATTTTTTTTTCCACAAAAAAATCTTTCACATTTGAGAAAAAATTACACGAGTTCGTTTTGGTAGATTTCACTCAATTTCCTAAAAAATTTGACCGCTGACCATATTTTCAAGTCGATTCCTGGAAGAAGACGAAAACCGCAAACACAACAGGATGCCTTCAGGCTCTATAAAAACAGCCAGCGGAGAGAGGAGATTCCCCAAAACTACGGAAATCCCAAGAAAAAAAACCCAGCAAAAAGAAGAAGGGTTTTCGGAATCGGAATCGGGACCGGAGGTGTTGGGATGGGGAGCGAAGGAGCGATGATTGTGAAGAAACCCAGATTGCTTTGTCTTCATGGGTTCAGGACGAGCGGCGAAATCATGAAGAAGCAGATTCATAAATGGCCAGAGTCTGTTCTCGAGAGGCTCGATCTCGTCTTCCTCGACGCGCCTTTTCCCTCTCAGGGTAAATCCGATGTCGAGGGAATCTTCGATCCGCCTTATTACGAGTGGTTCCAATTCAACAAGGTCTCGATTCTGATTGATTTCTCCTTTTTCTTTTTGCCTGTATTTATTTCGATAAAAAAAAATGATCGAGGAATTAAAGGGTTTTCCATTTTTTTTTGTTTGATTGGTTCATCTCAGGAATTTACTGAGTACACAAATTTTGAAAAGTGTTTGGAGTATATTGAGGATTACATGATCAAACATGGACCCTTTGATGGTCTTGTTGGTTTCTCTCAGGTAAATTTTCTGTTTGGTTGCTGAGAAAATGCAGGAAAAAGTGTCCTCTGTTTCTACGTTCATTTCTTTTTCTCTGCATCCAAACAGAGACAGACTTCACTTCGGCTTGATTCAACATGAAATATTTTACAGGGTGCGATCCTATCCGGTGGGTTGCCAGGACTTCAAGCCGCGGTACGTTAGAAATCGAATTCCAATTGGGAATGAAATACATTACAATCACGATTAAGAGATACTGATTTCGAAGAAATATCGAACTAAGTATCGTAGAATTACGAAGAATCTTACTTGCCCTTGATATCATTTTCCCAGCGTAGTATAAACATAGTGTATGTGTTCTTGAAAGTGCATGGCTTTCCTCAAATGTTGTAGGGAATAGCTCTTCAGAAGGTTCCCAAGATCAAGTTTCTGATCATAATTGGCGGCGGAAAGTTCAAATCTCCGTCGGTGGTCGAGAAGGCGTTCTCTTCTCTCGTCGAAATTCCTTCTCTACATTTCTTAGGTAACAATCTCCGAGTTCTTTAATCATCATGCTTCAAGTGCCCGGAAAATGTTGTAGTTAGATGATATGACCAAGAAATTCGTTTCGCAATGCTTCGGCTTTCTTGCTGTCGGAAATTTTGTCATGTGAGCTCGTTGTTGATGAAAATGGTTGTGTTTTAGTCAGAAGGGTCTGCTTATTTCCGAGTCCGTGACGTTGCAGGGGAGACGGATTTCTTGAAGCCGTATGGAATCGAGCTTATAGAATCGTTCAAAGATCCGGTCGTGGTTCATCATCCCAAGGGTCACACAGTCCCTAGGCTTGGTAATCTCATTACCCTTCAACACAAAGAGAAGAGAAAAAGGAGTTTCCTTTGAAAATTTCTTGTGTAGTTGTGTTTGGAAACATGCGTAGGATAAACCCAGTTCTGGATTTCAATTGTTCTTCGCAGACGTTATTAACGTTTTCACTATCTGTCGTTATGTAGCTGATGAGAAAAGCTTGGAGAGCGTTCTGGGATTCGTCGAGAAGATGGAAAATATTCTGACCGAAGAAGAGAGAGGAGTGACGAATGAGTAGTAGTTGCGGTTACGGAAATCGTGTTTACGTTTGCGTTTACTTTCCAACGCAAAACGCAAAGAGATACTGTAGGTGGCTTCGGAGATGAAGCTTTAAACCTATGGAAAAAAAGTTTATTTTTTAAATACACATAGACGCAATGGTATATAAATATCAAGGTATTCGACAATAAAATTAATAAATATAAAACGGTTCGATAAAATTTATAAACGAAAATACTTTTTACAAACTTCCATATAATCTATGTTCTCTCTACAACGAGTTCTCTTTGTTTTTTTATAACGATAAATGTATTATCACTCAAAAAATTATGTCTGTACATGATGACCATAAATCAAGACCAGCCCCAAAGGTACACGTTACGTACAATGAGAGAGCTTAAAAATGAAAAATCTGACATCTTTGCCGGGACGGATTGGATCAGCAATGGACAGCCAGACATCCTCGAGAGATGTCGTATTTGTCACCGAATTGGATTCCCTGGAGATGATAATGTCTCCTATCATCCTTTCAATCTCATAGTAAACTCACTCCAAAACAGCCTGCAGTTCCATTTTTGCCAGATCTGATAAGCCACTGCTTGTAGAACCAACTTGGTGATCTTTCTCCTCGAGTAGGATTCGCCGCAAACTCCCAAGACTGATGGAGGGAAAGTATAGTATATAGAGGCAAAGAATTCTCGGATTTCAATATTGAATTCGTAGTCGAAGAAGAGATGTTCATGAGATCCCGGAGTTCGCTCGCAAAGAGTGCATGTATCGGAAGTAGTAATACCTCATTTTTGGAGTCTATCCAAAGTGGATAATCTGCGGAGAAAATTTTGTCTCGTAAAATATTTTTACAATCTTTTGTATAACAAAATTTTCTACATATGAGCAAGACCCCCAATGGATTGCTTCTATAATCAATTTCAATGTACATGAGGTCATGATCAAGAAGTCAAGCTCGTGTAAATAGCATGCCATTAATGACTACTCTTATATCTTTCCAATGGGCATGAAAAAAAATGTGTTTTTTCGTTTGGTCACTCATAATTAACTACAGAGTTAATTAGGGTTTGAAATTTTGCAACTGCCAAAAAAAGAAATGAGGCAAGTGATGAGCAAAAGCAAAACAATGATGTGTTGTATTCTCCTCCCATCACTCATTCTATACCCAAAATCTCCCTCTTTTCTCGACGTTAAAATCCGAGACCTTTGAATTCACAAATATCTTCTTCATGAATATTCGAAATACGGATATTCTATCGCAAATTAGACCGAGAAAAGATAATTCACGATGAGGAATCTAGATATATTTTAGAGGTGTCAATCGGATCGACCTAGTCCGATTCGGTCTGAACCAGCACTCGATCTGAGATTTTTGGGTTCGGGTTCGGATCGACCCAAATCGAATACGAAGTTCGACCCGAAAACTCGATTTTTTTCTTATCGAAAATTTTAGAGATGAACCACACTATTTTTTAGACCGGACCTGTTGAGTTTCCGACGTCGGATCTAAATTGACACTCTGATATATATATTTTTTATGATAGACATTGTTTTACGAATAAAAGAGGATTGACCATTCAAATACGCATGATAATATGTTTTTTTTTATATTCAAATAAGCATCTTGTTCATCGTAGTTTTCGAAACTATATTTTTTACAAGACATTGTTGAAGCCTCGAATATCATTTGAGATCGTATATTTAATATTTCCCCTATTCCCACAATATTTCGACGGAAAAAAATAGGCATTTAGTTCGGTCATTCATAACCGAACCATCCAACTGAATGGTCTGTAAATCAAACCGTATTTATTATAGAAGTTAACAGTTATAATTATTAAAATTGAAAAATCGAAATTTCATATAAAAATTAAAAAAAAAACGATTTTTTTTTAAAATAATATTTTTATCATTGAAATCGCAACGGACAGGTTTTTTGAAATCTGAAAACCAAATCTGAATACAAGGGACATTCGAAATGGCCACCAATATAAAAGTACATATTTTTTTTAGCATTTCGGAAATGAATATCCCGAAAGAGGACGAAATTAGGGTTTATGTCCTGAATTTCACATGGTCTGTCTCCACCTTCGTCTCGCCTCACCTATGAATATGTCTGTTTTCAATCTCGCCTTCGCCCTCCCTACCCCATATTCCCGAATCTTTGACATACACGCCGATTCCAAAATGGCTACAGGAAATGTATATCATGTATACAACAATGGCTGCAGTCTGTTTTGAATTTTTTGTTTCTTCAATTTTTTTGCTGATATTATGATTTGATTCGATTTACGGAAAAGAAATTGACAGGCGGCCATTTTTTCTCGTTGTTTCGTGGAAGAAAACGAAGACCGCGAACACAACGCGATGCCGTCAGGCTCTATGAAACAGCCGCCGGAGAAAGATTCTCTAAAATAATCCAGAACAAGACGAATAAGGAAATCGGAAGTTTTGAGTTGGGGAATGAAGGAGCGATGATTGTGAAGAAACCTAGATTGCTTTGTCTTCATGGATTCAGGACGAGCGGCGAAATCATGAAGAAGCAGATTCAGAAGTGGCCTGAATCTGTTCTTGATAGGCTCGATCTCGTCTTCCTCGACGCGCCTTTTCCTTCTCAGGGCAAATCCGTTGTCGAAGCGATCTTCGATCCGCCTTATTACGAGTGGTTTCAAACCAATAAGGTTCCGATTCTTATTGTCTCTCTCTCGCTCTCGTTTTTTTTTACTAAAATTTGCTCAGGTGAATAATGATCGAGGAATTGAGGGTTTCTCCTTTTTGTTTGATTGGTTCATGTCAGGAATTTAACGAGTACACAAATTTTGAAAAGTGCTTGGAGTATATTGAGGATTACATAATCAAGCATGGACCCTTTGACGGTTTCGCGGGGTTTTCTCAGGTAAATTTTCTGTTTGGCTGCTCAGAAAATGCAGGAAAAAGTGGCATCTGTTTTACTCATCCTTCTCCCTCTGTTTCTACGTTCATTTCGTTCCTCTGCATCCAAACAGAGACAGACATGACTTGGACTTGATTTAAGATGAAAACTTTTACAGGGTGCGATCCTATCCGGTGGATTGCCAGGACTTCAAGCTGCGGTACGTTAGTAACCGAATTCCAATAGGAACGAATACATTACAATCACGATTAAGAGATACTGATTTCGAAGAAATATCGAACTAAGTATCATATTCATAGGATTTCGAAGAATCTTGCTTGCCCTTGATATCATTTTCCCAGTGTAGTATAAACATAATGTATGTGTTCTTGAAAGTGCATGGCTTTCCTCAAGTGTTGCCTTCTGTTTGATATTGTAGGGAATAGCTCTTCGGAAAGTTCCAAAGATCAAGTTTCTGATAATAATTGGCGGCGGAAAGTTCAAATCTCCGTCGGTGGCCGAGAAGGCGTATTCGTCTCTCATTGAAATTCCTTCTCTCCACTTCTTAGGTACTAATCTCCGATTTCTTGAATTGGAATGGTTTAACGCGAAAAATGTTATAGTTAGATGATATGACCAAGAAATTCATTTTGCAACGCATCGGCTTTCTTGCTGTCGGAAATTTTGTCATGTGAGCTCAATGTTGATGAAATGGTTGTGTTTTAGTCAGAAGGGTCTGCTTATTTTCGAGTCCGTGATGTTACAGGGGAGAAGGATTTCTTGAAACCGTATGGAATCGAGCTTATAGAATCGTTCAAAGATCCGGTCGTGGTTCATCACCCTAAGGGTCACGCAGTCCCTAGGCTTGGTAATCTCATTACCCTTTAACACAAAGAGAAGAGAAAAAGGAGTTTCCTTTGAAAATTTCTTGTGTAGTTGTGTTTGGAAACATGCGTAGGATAAGCCCAGTTCTGGATTTCAATTGTTCTTCGCAGACGTTATTAACGTTTCTCCACCTGTCGTTATGTAGCTGATGAGAAAAGCTTGGAGAGCGTTCTGGGATTCGTCGAGAAGATGGAAAATATTCTGACGGAGGAAGACAGGAATGACAAATGAGTAGTTGTGCGGTTACAGAAATTGCGTTTGCGTTTGCTTTCCAATGCAAACGCAAACGCGGAGATGAGATATTGTGGGTGGCTTCGGAGACGAAGCTTCGAAAACCTAAGAAAAAATGTTTATTTTTTTATATACAGAGATTCAGAGACATATAAATATACCAAGGTTCTCGAGATAAATAATCAATATATATACAATGGTTCGGTAGACTTTATCGATGGAAATTCCTTACAAGCGTTCATATAATATATGCTCTCCAATTTATTTTTTATTTAAATTTGCGAATCTGAACTGTCTTTTGGGTAAATTTAATTTACAAATCCGAACTAGAATTTGAATTTATTGGGTCAGGATGATGACTCTATGAGAATGGTTAGACAGGCAATGTTCTTGCAACGTGGGCGTTGGCGTTTTGGAAATCGGTACGGATTCGGAATGAAAATATCGGTTTAGTTTTTTCGGTCTACAAAATAGGTACCAATCGGTTTTTATACTAGAATTTGAATTTATTGGGTCAGGATGATGACTCTATGAGAATGGTTAGACAGGCAATGTTCTTGCAACGTGGGCGTTGGCGTTTTGGAAATCGGTACGGATTCGGAATGAAAATATCGGTTTAGTTTTTTCGGTCTACAAAATAGGTACCAATCGGTTTTTATATTATATTATGTTCGGTTCAGATTGGTTCCGGTTTATTAAAAAAAGATAGATTTCTTTTTAAAAAATCTCATTTTTTGGGATTTTTAAAAATTCGACTCGGTTCGATTCGATTCTGAAAAATTCGATTTTCTAAAAATAATACCGTTCAGAAATTTAAAACGATTCGTAACGAAAAAAAAATATCATATTTTTTTATTCGTTTTCGCTCATACTTACAGCATTAAACTTCTTTTGTCTCCATCCATATCACTTCACTTGTTTTTTCACTGTGTTTTTTTTCTTTCTTTCTTTTCTTCCGATTTTGATGTTTGTGGACTTCACATTTTTTTTCTATTAATATAGTTTTATGACGTCATTATTTGTCACGATTCTCACAGTAGTTAATAGTGTAAACTCGTTGAAAACTTTAAATCGCATAATTGGATTTGACCAATAAGAAAGGGTATCATTCTCGTACGAATATATCAGAAATATTTTTATATTTGGTTAAATAAAATCTTGTTAATATTATTCGATTGAATATAGTATTTTTTTTTAATATAAATCCAATAATCAATACAGTGCGAAAATAATTGGATTAAAAACAACAGATTCATTAATAAGTATCTTTTTAATTAAACGTAAAACGAATGAAAATCCTCAAATGTTGACAACAGATCGGAAAAGAAAGAAAGGAAATGAACTGCAAAGTTTCGCTATCTTACCTTATCAAAAAAAAAAAAAATCCTCAAATGTGGACATTAATTGAAGTCCTTTCTGACGTCATATTAGAAGATGAAATCTAAATCTCGCACAATTCATTTGTCAATGTCATTTCACCGCTTGCTTATGATTTGTGAACATCTAAAAGTCAAGTCACTCATAGATTATATATATATATATATATATAATTCAACACTTGATTTGGTTATATGACGGATATCTATTGACACAATCATGTGATAACAACTTTTTTTTTAAATTGTAGATATAAAACACATACGAAATTATTTTTTAAAAAACTTTTGTTCCTATTGATCAATCCCAAATTAAATTTCCTAAAACACCACGTTCCACAAAAATCGACCCTTTTTTTCTCTCTCTGATCTAGATTTTTTTTTTTTGGCAAAATTCTCTGATCTAGATTTTTTTTATTTATTTTTGGGCATAATTTTGGAAAATTGGGAGTTTTTTTTTTTTTTTGGGGGGGGGGGGGGGT